GGGGGAGGGTGGCTGGAGCCGCTGCCTGGCAGCGTGGGGCTCTGACCCCAGGCAGGGCAGAAAGGGCCATGGCAATCACTCCTGGGGCAGGCGGGTCCCAGCTGCACCCCAGCGGCTCTGGCTGTGGCCCTGCCCTGGGCGCTGCAAGCCCCACTAGGGGAGCAGGTGGGAGAACCCAGCCCTGCTCCCTGTGGTGGGCACTGCACCTGGCCACTCCGCACAGGCCCACAGGGCTGAAGCCACTGCCTGGGGGCACGGGGCTCCCAGCTCTGACCCCAGGCAGGGCAGAAGGTGCCGGTGCTGGTGCCAGGGTCAGGGTGGTTCGGGGTGCAGTGGTGCCAGTGCTGGGGTCCCAGGGGGTTCAGGGTGCAGCACTGCCCAGCAGCTGCAGGCAGCTGGCATCAGCCACTCCCAGGTCCACTGCAGCAGGGGCTGGGGTGAGCAGGGACAAGCTGTGCCACACCCCCTGCCCCCCGGGGCTCTGCTTGTTCCCACTCACCCCAGTCCCTGCTGCAACGGCCCCACGAATGGCTGATACCAGCTGTGGAGGGAACTGTAAGTCAGTGAGTGCAGTCATGGCTCTTGCTGCTACATGCACCTCGGGAGGGCTATGGGCTGGAGGGCTGTGCCGGGCTCTTCCAGGGGGCACATGCCGCCCGATCTGTGCGCCAGACAAGAACAAGCTGCTACCCACCCTGAGCACCAGGAAGAGTCCAGAGCCACCACTGGCTCCAGCCTGCAGCGGCAACTTTCTCTTGCTCTGTGCAGATCCGGGGGCATGTGCCCCCCCTGGAAATAGCCAGGTGCAGCCCCCCAGCCCATGGCCTTCCCAGGGTGCACGTAGCAGCAACAGCCCTGCCTCCCCAACCGTGCACCCACTGACAGTTCCCTCTGCTTTCCTCCCTGCTGTAGTCCCGGGAGCGGCCAAAAGGCTGTGCCGCACTGCATCCTTCCCCCCACCCCTTCCCTAGTCCTAGCCTTACTCCCTCCCAACCTGCCATGGGAACTTATTATTATTTTCCCTGATTTAAACTGATTTCTTTTCTTTCTTTTATCTTGACTTCAACCTGG